GGGGCCCCCCCCCCCCCCCCCCCAACCACAACACGCCCACAGGGACAATCGACTTGGCTAGCTAGCAAAATGTAGCAGAAAAATATATGGTCAAAGCACTAGTGTTTGTACCAGGGCCAAGGGCAGTGAGATGAAAGATCGTAATGCTTCTTGGCCTAGTCAACCTGTCTTAATGTTCTCTAACTTCATATGGTGGAAATTGAAGTGGGAATAATTTCCAAGCGGTCCGCTGGGAGTCAGTGGCGAAGCCCTCAATTTTTTTTTTTTTATAAGGGCGAACTCGGATAGGTTAGATACGAGGGAAAGAACCCATAAAAGAGAGATCGGATGCCCTTTCCGATGCAGTTCACAATGCGGAGCTGCCAAGTAGCTAAGCTAGGTAGTTTGTTGGTATTGGAACTTAATTTAAAGAATTAATTTGAGGACTTAATCTAATATAATCATTGAATTATAAGTGTGTTTTATCTAATATTACAACTCACAACTAATCTAACGGTTACATTAAATTAGGTCCTTAAAACATTACTCTATTTTTTTATCATATCAATTAGTATATATCTAAATGACTAACGGTGGACACACGTCGGACATGTTCAGATTAATTTAGACATATTTGATTTATTTTAAAATTTTTTGATCTACTTGACTATTTATTATTGATGTGCAGTTTAACATTAAGTTTAAAACCTAATAGAAATTTGTGATCTTGTTCACAAAATTTTAAAATAAAAAGATACGTGGTATATCTTTTAGTGTATATATATTTGTAATTTTGACATTAATTTTATTAGTCATTAATGATGAAATCATAAGATAACGCTGTCAAATTATGAAAATTTATTGGGTCAATTGTAACTAACTACAATTAACTTCATTTTCAATAAAAGACTATAATTAATTTATTTTCTGTTGTACACATATATGCGTAGAATTATTAAGAATCACCGATGAAATAAATAGTATATATAAGTCATCTTGTCATTACTAATATATATTTATATCTATACTATTTATAAATGTCAAAAAAAAATTTGATTTTCTATTTTATCCCTAATTATTGTAATAAATCAATTATATTCATCTATATATTTTTATCTAATTTATCTGTTTTACACTTATTTGACTTTTAACTTATTTTGGACTCTTTTATAAAGACTTTTAAATTCTTTTGAACTCATTTATTTTTAGTACAATTACTTATAATTATTTATATCTATATGAAAAAGTAAAATTNATATTTGACTTTTAACTTATTTTGAACTATTTTATAAAGACTTTTAAATTCTTTTGAACTCATTTATTTTTAGTACAATTACTTATAATTATTTATATCTATATGAAAAAAGTAAAATTCTATATATGTTAAATTATTATGCACATATAGTTATTAGATTGAATTTCATAGTCCAATATATTATATTTTATATTTTAATATGTAATAATAGAATAATATTTTATACGATCTAATCAAACAATTTATCAAAATAAAAATTATGCATATAATTTTTATTTTTATAAAAATAATATTATTTAAATTTATTTATGTCCAACAGTCATTGATAGTTGGAATGAAATGTGTTCTTGTTATCAAGTTGCCGTATATAACAAGATAAGATAATATATAATTTAATGCACACCCAAATGCAATTTGCCAAAGCAGTTGTCGTTTTTCTTGCATTCCGTTCCTATGTCCTTTCATCATCTTCTTTAGACGCCTATAAATTTGCATGTTGTGAGGCTCTTGAAGGTGCAGACTGCAGAAGCTTAGTACAGGCCTTAAAAACTTCAGGCAATGGCATTTTCCTCAACACTTGTGTTGTCATCACCCTCACCCTCTTCTCTATCTCAGCCACTGTGCCTATGGCTCAAGCCCTCATAGTCGATAACGCGAACATTACAACTGTGCTCAGTGAGGGCACTATTGTTTGTGCCAACACCTCTTTATCTACGCCTGGAACTTTTAATGTGATTCCCCAAGCACCAGTTGATCTGGTGTGTGGAAATGCCACGCTCCAATCAACTCAAACCAGTCTTACAGGTGTTTATGTGTTTGCCTTCAACATACCTAATACTTTGATCTTTGACCCAAACACATGTGAGCTCCACGTCACAATACTAGCTAACACTTGCACCTTCCCCAGTCCTGAGGATTCCTCTTAGTGTGTATTCGTTCTACGCCTTCGTTGGGGATGCCCTGTTCTACTTGTTTAGAGGTGTTTCTCCCTGCGTGGTCTAGTACCAAGGGTTATAACCTTGGAATATCACTGATAAGAACAATTAGTGCAATGACACAATTCCTTGTGTAATAAATCTGCTTGCTATGTTTGTTGGTGAAGTAGAACCTGGTTTTGTATGTAACAGCTTTAGAAGGTGATCCGTGGTGTGGTTATCTATCTATCTTCACTGTAATTGAGTACTCCTTTGATTTTTGGTGGGACTCTAGGTGGCTCTTCAGCCCCTGGATTGACACGTGAAATAATGAAGCCGTTGGGATGTCTAAAGGGTGCCAATGAGGTAAGCCGAGGTATGGTGAGACAGAGCAGTCGAGTACGACAGCTGACATCGTATTTAATGCGATGTGACCCCACATTTATGACATTATGAGTGATAGTGACAAGACAAATAAATGCGCGCCTGCCAACATTTGCTCTCTGAGAGTCTAAGCCTACTGTCATGATGGCTAAGTATTAATGGTTGATGCGTCGAGACAACACGAGCGGATCTCCCGAGGAACTGTTCTTCCCGAGTATTCAATGCTCAGTTGATGTCAAATGCCGATCTGGGGGATTTGGGTACTCGTGGAGTGGCATAAATGCTCGGCACATGGCCGAGCATTTACCCCATTTTCCTAGCATTCAATAGGAGACGTGAATAGAAAATACTCATTGCACGAGGACTAGTGTGTCAGATGTGAGATGTCCAGATGGGACTGGAGATCTTTGACAATTATTACTAATTCAGGTATAAATATTCCTCAGAAAAATGGACAAGAGGACGCTAACTCGAACAACCCTTCGATCTTACACTGACTTAAGCTTTGGAGGGGATTAGCCGGGCACACGTCTAGCCCCTTTTTTTCTGACCCTATTATTTCAGGTTCGCCAGCTGGGAGATCGCTGCCTCATACGATTACAGAAATTATCCCGTGCAATTTGGCGCCATATGTGGGAATGAAAGCATTTTTCTTGGTAGCAATTGTCTGATGGTGAACACTCGATCTTAGGGTGAGGGAGCAAGTGTACGGGTCAGGAACGCAGAGCCCGTCCAACTTCCAATGGTTCTGGAGCCAAGTTCATTGGGCCAATCAAATGGGGTAGGGCATTCTTCGCAAAGAACGCTCCTTATGGATCAAGGCCTTGGGGGGCGCAACCTCATGGCCTATGACATCGTGGAGATGGTGGAAAAGTGGATGGGCAAATGCACTAAGCAGCTCGAAAGGGAAAACGCCAAAGTCCAGCAATGTCTTGACAATTTCGAGCAGTCGGCAAGCGCAGGTGAGCATAGTCACGGGGTCAGGGACCGGGTGCCCAGCCAGGACCTATCCAAACCCCCTTGGCATTGGCCCTCTAGGAAGGATTGGGTTAGGCACTCGCCCGAGGGGGGTGACCGCCAAGGAAGGTTATCGGCCTCCAAGGGAAAGTCGAAATTGGGCCAGAAGGCAAGCTTGTCCAGGTGGGACCTGCGCTGGGGGATACCCGAGGGAGTCAGAGCCACCAAATCTCAAGCGGAGTCCATACCCCGAAGGCCTCGAGGGGAGAGATCAACCAAGGATCCCTAGGTCCCCTTCATCGCTCAGCGCAACCATGAGCCCGCGGTCTACTCCGACGAAGTTATCTCGCCGTTCGTCCGAGCTATCAGGGAGGCCGAGATGCCGAAAAAGTTTACCGTCCCACGGTTCAAAGTCTATGACGAAAAAACCGATCCCGAGAGCCACCTTCGGCAATACAGACAATTGATGTCAATCTACAATACTGACCAAAAGGTGTTGTGTAGAGTTTTTCCCATGAGCCTAGGGGACACCAGCATGAGGTGATATGAGAACCTTGTTCCCGAGAGTATTGGGTCCTGGAGACAATTGATAGAGCTCTTTCTAGCTCGATTCATCACCAGCAGTAAGAAACCGAAGGACATCGGTGCTCTGTTAACGCTTAGGTGGAAAGGGGGAGAGACACTTTGACAATATGCCATCCAATATTGGGATGAGGTGAATGAGGTGGAGGCATGTTCGGAGGCATTGGTCGCAGCATCATTTAGGCAGGGGCTGTCCCGAGACATTGATTTGTACAAATAGCTGNGATATTGGGATAAGGTGAATGAGGTGGAGGCATGTTCGGATGCATTGGTCGCGGCTTCATTTAGGCAGATCTGTCCCGAGACATTGATTTGTACAAATAGCTGACTAAGAAGGCTCCGGCGGACAAGAAAGACTTGATGGCTCGGATTAACAAATATGCCCGGGTGGAGGAAGAGTCTGTCGTACCCGAAAGCAGGGTCACGGTGCCAAGAAAAAGGGAAAGGGAGCAGCCGTCCCGAAAAGGAGGGCCTATTCCACCCCCAACTCACCTATCCTTCCAGGGAGTAAACACGGTATTCAACGACCCCATTCACAAGAAACTCCCTAAAATAAAAAATAGACATTACTTCAAGTGGCCCCCGAGGATGATTGGAGACCAATCGATAAGGAATTCGGCCTTCTGATGTTCGTATCATAGAGATATCGGTCATTTGACAGATGAGTGCAAGGCTTATAAATCCTTCCTCGAACAATTGGTGCGACACGGACACCTCAGCGAATTCATCGACATGGGTCATCCCGGTGGGTCGGCGAGGGAGCTAGCCGAGGTGCTAGCTGAGGTAGCACCCGTGATTGATGTTATCCATGCCTGCACAATNAGTAGGTCGGCGAGGAAGCGAGCCGAGGTGCTAGCTGAGGTAGCACCCGTGATTGATGTTATCCATGCCTGCACAATGGAGAGGCCTACATAAAACTCCCTCTGTGCCGAGTTGCAAAGGGTCTCTAAGCAGTCAGGGTGGACGAAAGGGGACATGAGCGGCCGCCCAAGAAGCCACGAAGCGGTGCCGAGGTTATCCAATTTTTTGATGCTGATCTCGGCGGGGGTAGTCCTCCCCTACGAGGATGCATTGGTGATCACGTTGCGGGTCGGGAAGTTCGACGTTAAGAGAATCTTGATGGGCTCGGACAGCTCCTCCAAGGTAATGTACGATCACCTCTTCCGCAAGATGGGACTCTCTCAGAGGGATCTGGAACCTGTAAAAACCCCCTTCATCGGCTTCAATAGTTCCAGCGCCCTGCACCTTGGAAAAATCACTCTCATGGTACGGGCGGGGGTGGTGACCATGCCAATGAAATTTGTGGTGGTAGACTCCAACTCCCCTTATAATGCTATTATGGGGAGGTCGTGGTTGCATGCAATAAAGGCGGTCCACTCATCCTACCACCAGAAGATAAAGTTTTCAACACCACAGGGCATAATGGAGATCCAGGGTGATCAGGCCTCAGTGAAAAGATGTTTCTATGTCGCGGTGAAAACGGGAATCAGCGGCCAAAATCAGGATCGTGATCCCGATGCGGTAGTTGCCAAATAGCAATCAAAGAACGGTCGTTTGGGGGTGGACGAGCCCATCACGGAGCCGACTAACCGGTCTACTAAGGCCTTGGTAAAGATTCTCCTGAGCCTAGATAACAGTGAGAAGTACTTCTTGATAGGAGAATCGCTCAGCGACGCTGAGAGAAATGATATGACCTCATTTTTACGCCACAATGTCGATGTCTTTGCGTGGACCCAGGCCGAGATCACGGGGATAAATGTCGAGGTGATGACTCATCAGATCCATGTGAATCCCTCATTCAAACCCGGTAGGCAAAAAGCCCGGAGAACGGCGTCTCATCACGCGAAGGCTGTAGATGAAGAAGTAGATAAGTTGTTGGAGGCAGGTTCCATCAAGGAGGTACAATTCCCCCAATGGCTGTCTAATACCGTGTGCGCCAAGAAGAAAGAGGGAAAATGACGAGTTTACATGGATTTTACGGACCTAAACAAGGCTTGCCCCAAGGACGAGTACCCCTTGCCTAAAGTTGATCAGCTGGTAGACGCCACAGGCGCATCACCTTCATAGATGCTCGGGCTGGATATCACCAAACTCCCCTGCATGAATCAAATCAGGAGAAAATGGCGTTCATCACGCCCTGGGGAATCTACTGTTACACAGTAATGTCTTTTGGGTTAAAGAATGCTAGAGCTACTTACCAACGATTGATGAACAAAATTTTCAAAGACCAGCTCAACGAAACGATGGAGGTGTACATTGATGACATGTTGGTCAAAAGTAAAAAGGAGGCCGACCATCTCCACCATCTTGGGACGACGTTTGCCATCCTCCGGAAATATGGCCTAAAACTAAACCCCTCGAAGTGCGCCTTTGAAATGAGCTTAGGAAAGTTTTTGGGGTATTTGGTTACTTATCGGGGGATTGAGGTGAACCCCGGGCGCCTAAGACCGTTAAGGGCGTTCAGAAATTGGCCAGGATGTTGGCAGCCCTTAACATATTTATTTTCAAGTCGTCCGATAAGTGCAAACCATTTTTTGCCAAGTTGGGGGGGCAGCTAAGGGGGTTTGGGATGAGGAATACGGTCGAGCTCTTGAAGGGTTCAACGAGTACTTGAAACATCCTCTGACTTTATCTGTTCCAGCGGCAGGAAAGGTGCTAAGTCTTTACTTGTCCATATCTCAAGACGTCGTAAGTGGAGCATTGTCAGGGATAGCGAAGGGGCACAGAGACCCATGTATTTCATAAGCAAGACCTTGCTTGACGCCGAGACAAGATACTCTCCTATGGAGAAATCGGTCGTGGCATTGGTAGTCTCGACGAGGAAATTTCGACACTACTTTCAGGCTCACGCCATAGACGTCCTTACAGACCGACCTCTCAAGCCGATTCTTCACAGGGCCGACATGTCTGGGAGGGTTACCAAATGGGCTATAGAGCTTAGGGATTTTGAAATCAGGTACAAGCCTCAAACATTAATAAAAGGACAAGTCCTGGCGGACTTTGTGGCCTAGTTCTCTGCGTTCGAGCCCCCACCGATGTCACAGGATCTGACGGGGGACGTTTGGGATCTTCATGTTGATGGATCCTCG